AAATAGATATAATATTTTATATATTTTATATAAAATTATAAAATATATTTATATATATATAATTTTATATAATATATATATATATATTATATTTTTAAAAATTTTATAATAAAATTAAAAAGAATATTTTTGTTATATAATAAAATTTTAAAATATAATTTATATATATTTATTTATAATAAAAAATAAAATAAAAGGACAGGGGTTTTGAAAACCCCTCATTTCCCCGGTCGGGTTTGGGAGGGCAAAGGAGTAGGCAGACCCCCCCAAAGTTTGTTTCAAACCACTTTCCTATCCTTTTTCCATTGCATCAAAGGGTTTGATAAGACAAATTCCTTCCGAAAACCCTCATGACTCAGAAAGGAATAGAAGACCCTAGCTATGCGTCCCAAAATAAAACCGAATGGGAGACTCTTGCTGCTCCAGCACCAATCCCAAATGCCCCCGCTCACAAACATTTAAGCTGGGGTAGCCCAATTGCGAAAAGGTTTCTTGGCAACATCTCAGGGGGCAAAAATCAATAAAAGGGGGGGGCCCATCTCCCCGGCTGTGAGTGCAAACCCCACTCCGGGGCTTCCCCCAAATAGTTCCCATTTTCGGCAATGGGAAAAGCGGGCTCGACCCTAAGACCCCCGTATTTCATGGCTCGGGGCCTTGCTGCCCCCCAATTCACAAAGAATAAATGTGGGATTTGCGGCAAGTGCAAGCCGACCAATACGGTCTACATGGCCCAAAATGTTTTCCCAAAAACCCAAGGGGTGGCATGCCCCAAAACACAATGGGCAACGAAAATCAAAATTTAAAAGAACCCTTTTCTACAGCTGGAAAGCCCTCCGAGAGGGGGGCCCGAACACTTTCAGCAAACAATCCCCCAAACCCCCGCAAAACCGCCCCCCGGGATCACCCTCTAAACCCCTTGGGAAAAATGGGAACTCTTAGGGTGGGAACCAAAACCTTTGTGTCCCAAAAATGGCCACCCCTAAATCCATAAAAGTGTGGGGGGGACAGGGGGGAGTGCTGACCACAGGGAAAGGGGTACAAAACAAAGTACAGGGACATTACCCAAAAGTAAACAAAATTTTTCCCAGTGGGATAAAAGACCTTGGGAATCAAGGGGAAAAAAAAGCCACACGTTTCCCCTTAAAGGAAATTGGGGGCCAACCATCGGGAAACCACCAGGGACCCAAAGGGGAGCCACTTTCCATATTGTTCCCGCGCCTCAGCGTCGCCATCCAGAGGGGGAAAAGCTTTCTGGGAAAACTTGGCTCACGTCCCGCCTCGGGGGAGCTGGGGGAAATTTTCAACTTTTATACATTGTCCATTGTATTCATGTTTTTGTTTTTTTCCTGTAAATGTATTTTGAATTTTTAATAAATGTTCACATAGAAAATAAAATAAAAAGGGGGGTAGGAGAAGAAAATATTCAAACAGCTCCGGGGAGAACCTTTAGTTTTCTTTGAGGTACGTTTATTGTCTTCTTTGAGGATGAGGGTCCCCATTCCAGCCATAGAGGTGGTACTTCCCTATATATATATATATATATATATATATATATATATATATATATATATAATATATATATATATATATATATATATATATATATATATATATATATATATATATATATATATATATATATATATATTTTACATATATATAATATATATATATATATATATATATATATATATATATATATATATATATATATATATATATATTCTCACTTGCAGTGAGAACTGGGTGCTGTTGCAGTATTTGAGTTGAGGCGATGAGGTGCAGCATTAGAGGTGTGGCGAGGAGGTTCAGTAGCGGACATGAATACTGTTGATCAAGACCCCAGAAGAGAGAGAGAAAGAGAGGAACAATTAACACCCACCCCAAGATAAACTCATTCTAAATCATATACGAGCACACTGCCTTGCCCATGACGCCTCACACTGCCTCACTCACAAACCCTTTACACTGCCTCTCGCATGAACACCTCACATCACCTCGCTCATTAACCCCTCACAGAACCTCACATATAAACCCCCCAAATGGCAAAAACAGAGAAACAAAAGCATTAAAACGTAAACAAAATCTAGGAGTTTCCATGGAGAAGTTATAAAACAGGAGACTGGGGTTTATTTAAACCCCCAAGAATGCCTTAGTGCGGAGAATGACTTTAGAAAATGGTAGGAGATGACACCAGTAGCGCGAAAACTACTTTATCTCTGAGAAATAACGTGCTGGGCTTTGCAGAATTATTACATGTCAGGAGATTCACGTCTCCCCCATCATGTTAATGTGGTGTTCAAGCTGCCAGCAGCGTCGAGGCAAGATGCTGCTGGCACTTGCAAGACTGGAGGTGTCTAACACTTGCATGGCTGGGTCTTGTCAAGACTGGAGGTGTCTAACACTTGCATGGCTGGGTCTTGTCAAGACTGGATGAGACTAACACTTTCATGGCTGAGTCTTGTCAAAACTGGAGGTGTCTAACACTTGCATGGCTGGGTCTTGTCAAGACTGGATGAGACTAACACTTTCATGGCTGAGTCTTGTCAAGACTGGAGGTGTCTAACACTTGCATGGCTGGGTCTTGTCAAGACTGGATGAGACTAACACTTTCATGGCTGAGTCTTGTCAAGACTGGAGGTGTCTAACACTTGCACGGCTGACACTTTTCAAGACTGGATATGTCTAACACTTGCATGGCTAAGTCTTATCAAGACTGGAGGTGTCTAAAACTTGCATGGCTGAATATTATCAACACTGGAGGTGTCTACACTTGAATGGCTGAGTTTTATCAACACTGGAGGTGTCTAACACCTGCATGGCTAACGATCTAAGATTGAGACATCAAGAACCATCTTCAAAAGGATTTGCTTAAAGAGAATCTACAGATAAAAAAAATTCTCGCATTCCGGTGTTTGTGTTGCAGGCTTATAGTACTTGTGTTGCAGACTTGCAGTACTTGTGTTGCAGGCTTGCAGTGCTTGTGTTGCAGGCTTGCAGTGCTTGTGTTGCAGGCTTGCAGTGCTTGTGTTAAAGTACTGAAATGTTTGTGTTGCAGACTTCAATTACTTGTGTTGTAGGCTTGTAATGCTTGTGTTACTATAAACAACTGCTAGTAAGGCTCAGAAATAACTTGTGTGAATTTTATACTTATGATATACTGTGAATAGCTATGTACAATATTTACCAGTGTACAAGTATTTTGAAAGAGACCAGATTAATTTTAAACAGCGAACAGGAAATATCACAAAGAACAGGGAGTCGCAGTGGGATACATGCCAGCTTACAGCTTGAGAGAGTATAGCTGGATGGTGCGATAACCACAGCCCAAGTAATCGAACCAACCACCCAACTACCCTTGAACAAATCAGAATGCCACAGCACGCCTAACAGTCACCGGACAAACTAGGGTTGTATATCAACCCTTGAGGGCTCCAGTTACCCTGCTTTCAATCGGAAAAGATGACTGCAAGAGTGTGGTAGAACCTGTGATTGCCGAATCTAGGCATACCTACTCTGAGCATGAGACAGTGGCAAGGAAATGCAAGTCAATGTTTGGAATTCGATGCTTTATTCAAAGCCTTTGCGATATCAAAGGCAACAACCAGCGACTATTAAGTAATGAAAGGTACAGTAGTGACTCTACGTACATCAAATACTGAGTAAGAGAGTTTTTGTTTTAAGGAAAACATACTTTTGTAAACAATATAAACAATGTAGGAAAAGCAAAATCAGCGTTTTAAATACAACGTTGGTTTTCCGACGTTTAGCGGCATATCCATCATTCTTATGTATGCTGTTTTAGGTTAGGGTAGGTAAGCATTTTTTACCAAAATTAACCAGTTCCAGCAGAATGTAAACAGAGAAAAAGTGAGACTACTAGTACGTTTTTTTGACGTAACAGTAAACTAGAAGACGCTTCATGAATAATAAAACTAAAATGCAACATTAATGTATTTTAAACACGTCGTTATTCCAAACGTTTTCTTAGTGGACGAAATTCACGTTAAAAATGAAGAAACGGACAGAATTGTGGACGAAAGTCAGCCTCGAATAATATTCCAGATGCTTTGCAATAAGACTCCAAACTGAGACTTGAACAATGTTGCAGGTGTTGCATACAGCTTCAGGTGTTGCATACTGCTGCAGGTGTTGCATACTTTCTGAGACTTGCTTCTTGAGGCCTCGTGGATAAATAACACGGTGGGCAGTAGTATCCACCGGGTCAGTCTTAGGGAACGCAGGTAAATGCTGACGACAGGAAATTTTGCTGTGAGCATAAGAAAGGAGCGTGTGTTGCTGTGCGGAGTGGCGAGAGGCTCTTGCAAGAGGAGCAGGAGGAGGAAGAGGAAGAAGAGAAGGAAGAGGAGGAGGAGGAAGAGGAAGAAGATGAGGAGGAGGAAGAGGAAGATTGCGGGAAAGAGACTACCAGAAGTTTAAGGAACAAGGAATGGTTCTCCCCGAGAATGCAAGTATAGTAATAAAATAAGTGAAAGACGATACAGTGGATCTGGAAAATTTACAGTGGAAGAGTTTAGACATAAATTTGAGAGATTTCCTGCGTGGAAGTAGCAAAAGTTAGAACATTCTTGTGCGGAGGTAACGAATGTTAGAACATTCTTGTATAGACGAAACGAATGTGAGCGAAGGAATCATTGCATTTTAGGGTAGAGTTAATTTAAGGGAATAATACCTAGATTGAGGAGAAACAACTGAGTGGTGCTGACCATCCTTGTGAGTAACGGAGACGTTACATTTAAGGGTAGATTTAAGGGTGTTAAGGGCTAGCTTGCGGAGGAACACTACCGAGGTACTGGCCATCTTCGTGAGCTAAGTAATAATTACATTTTAGAGTAGAGTTAAGGGTACTAAGACATAGTTTAAGAAGGAACGCTAGTGAAGCATTAGCCATTCTTGTGAGCAAAAGAATCATCACATTTTAGCGTAGATTTAAAGGTAGTAAGATATAGTTTAAGTAGGAACACTAGTGAGGTACTGACCATCCTTGTGAGCAGCGGAGACGTGGGTGACTCTGAGACCTGGAGGAGCATCCTCAGCCAACACCAGACAGTAACGAGGCTCAGAGAACTGCAGTGGACCACCAGCACCAGACAGAAGACGACTCGCTGTGGGGAACAACACAATAATATTTCAATGATCAACTCTCCAGTAATATGTATCAATATGTCTTATACAATATTTCTTGTTTGGTTTCAAGGAACATCAACTTTCTTTAACCTCTTCTAAATAAATACATACAAACACAATATAAATATAAAAATATATTAATATATATATATATATATATATATAATATATATATAATTATATAATATATATATAATATATATATATACTCTTACAGTGCTATTACATGTATACATAATTATACATTTGAAATATATTGCCGCTAAAATTGGCAACATATACAAACCAATATTTAATGTAAGTAGATATACAATTTAATTAAAGCCTGGCAGGGGAGGTCTGGGGTGGAGGATGCCTCAGCAGCCACAACAAGGTATCATATTATATGCCAGCCTGGTTATTACTGTATAACTTACGGATGCTGACCATGATGTTATCACTTGGTGCTGCTGCTACTACAACTGTCATCCTTAACACGACAACTACCCCTGCCACAGATACGACTCCTGCCACATCTACCACAACTATCACCTCTAACACGACAGCTACCCTGACACAGCCACCATTCCTGCCACATCAACCATAGCTACCACATCAACCATAGCTACCACATCAACCATAGCTACCACATCTAACACGACAACTACCCCTACCACAACCACCTATCCAAATACCATCACCACCCTTACCAAAATTGTAAGGTATACTATGGTTAAAGATATATATATACATATATATATATATATAAAATATATATATATATATATAATATATATATATATATATATAAAATATATATATATATATATATCAGTTTTTTAATTATAGGGAAGTACCACCTCTATGGCTGGAATGGGGACCCTCATCCTCAGAGAAGACAATAAACGTACCTCAAGGAAAACTCAAGGTTCTCCCCGGAGCTGTTTGAATATTTTCTTCTCCTACCACCCCCTGTATTTGATATTCTATGTGAACATTTATTAATAAACAGAATACATTTACAGAAAAACATACATATAAATACAATGGCACAATGTATCAGATCATGAATTTCCTCCAGCTCCTCCGAGGCCGGACGCGAGCCAAGTATGCAGCAAGCATTTCACCTCTGGATGGCTACGTTAAGGAGCTGGAACATGAAAGTGGCAGCCCTTGGGTCCCTGGGGGTGTCGATGAGTCTGGAACCCAATTCTTTAAGGAAACGTGTGGCATTTTTTCCCCATGATCCCAAGGTCTCTGATCCCACTGGAACAAATTGATACTGTTGGCTAATGTCCCTGTACTTGCTGATCTTGTACTCCTCCCTGTGGTCAGCAGCTCCTCCCTGTCGCCCCACACTGTGATGGATATAGGTGTCAGCCAGTGTGGACATACAGGTATAGTCCCATGCTAAGAGTTTGCCATTCTTCCAAGGATAGATGGTGATCCCGTCAGGGCGGTTTGCCGGGTTGTGGGTATTGTTGGCTGCTAGTGATCGGGGCTCCCTCTCGGCTGGGCATCCAGCTGTAGCAAGGGCTCTCTTAATAATGTTGTTGACCTCATTGTGTCTTGCATGCCAGCCCTTGGTTTTGGAACAGTTAAGACCATGTAGACCGTATTGGTCTGCTTGTGCTTCGCAGCAAATAGACGTATATTCTGTGTGAATTGGGGCAGCAAGGCGCAGAGCCACTGCAATACGGAGGGTCTTAGGGTCGAGTCGCGTTCCCATTGCCGATATGGGAACTGTTTGGAGGAAGTCCCCGGAGTGAGGTGAGCTCACAGCCTGAAGACGGGCAGTCTCCCTATCTGATGTTGCAGCCCTGAGCATGTTGGCAAGTACCTTTTCAGCGATCGGGCCATCCCAGCTTGACTGTTTGTGAGCCAGTGCTGCACTAGGGTTTGGTGCTGGAGCAGCAAGAGTTTCCCATTCAATGATGGCACTGGCTAGGGTCTTCTATTCCTGCTGAGTCACTGAGGGTATCAGGAAGAATTTGTCTTATATATATATATATATATATATATATAATATATATATATATATATATATATAATATACATGTATATATATATAAATATATATATATATATATATATATATAATATATATATATATATATATATAAATATATATATATATATATATATATATATATAATATATAATAATATACATATATATATATATATATATATATATAAAATATATATGTATATATATATATATATATATAAATATATATATATATATATATTTTATATATAATATATATATATATATATATATATATATATGTCGTGCCGAAAGCTCATCTTGCCATATAGGACAAGTGAAAATTTGTGTATGCAATAATTTCGCCCAAATCATTCTGAACCTAACGAAGAAAATATATTTCATTTTGGGTTTGTTTAGTATTAAATTATTGTAAACAAATCTAAAATATATTTAGTTGGGTTAGGCTAAAATAAATTCCGCTTTTTATAGAAAGTTTAGATAAGTTTTCTAAGTTTCTTTTGGTGCAAAATTATAAATTTTTATATCAACATTAATGAAAAAAATATATCTTTAAACGCATAAGAGAAAATTTTAGAAAGGACTTAATTTTAAATGAGTTCTTGTTAATTGACCAGTTTTTATATAAAATATATATATATATATATATATATATATATAATATATATATATAATATATATATATATATATATATATATATATATATATATATATATATATATATATATATATATATATATATTAATATATATATATATACATACATACATACATATAATATATATATATATATATATATATATATATTATAATATATATATATATATATATTATATATATATAATATATAGGGAGGTACCCCCTCTGGAACTGTTATAGGGACCCTCATCCTCAGAGAAAAGAATAAACTTGCTTCAAGGAAAACTCAAGATTCTCCCTGAAGCTGTTTGTGAATTTTCTCCTACCACCCCCTATATTTTATATATATATTTTATTTAAAGACAAAATACATTGACAAAACATTCACAAAAATACGATAGAAAGTAAAACAACGTAGGTAACTCAGAGCTACATCTCGAATACTTCGTCCAGCTCCCCGGTGGTGGGCCGCGTGCCCAGAATGCTGCAGGCATTTCCTCTCTGGATCGCAACTCTGAGTCTTTGAAAGAGGAAGCTGGTCACCCTGTGGTCCTTGGTTTCTATGATGAGCTTTTCACCCAGCTCTATTAGGAACTTTAGAGCACACTTGCCCCTTGCTCCAAGGGTCTCCGACCCTATGGGGATGAAGTTATAGCAAGGGGGAAGGTCTTCATATTTGCGAATCTTCTGGGTCTCCCTGTGGCTGGCACCTCCACCCCCTTCCACTACAGAGTATGGCAAGCAGGTGTCTGCCAATGTGGCGGCACATGTGTAGCCCCAGGCAATCTGCTTTCCATCCTTCCAAGGTAGCATAGTACCTCCATCAGGACGCTTTAGACTTCCGTCAGAACCTCTGCACTTGGGGTTCCCGTTAAGCTGGGCAACGGGCTGTGGTGAGGCTTCTCTTTATGATGTCATTGACCTCCTCATGCCTGGCATACTTCCCTTCTGCTGTGTGACACACGAGACCATGAAGTCCGAATTGATCAGCTGTCGCCCTGCCGCAAATACACCTATGTTCGGTGAGGATGGGGGCGGCTAGGCGAAGAGCAACACCAATCCGAATGGCCTGTGGGTCTAGTCGAGTGCCCAAGGAGGAATTGGGATCAGCTAACAGGAAATCTCCTGAGTGTGGTGCCTTCATTGCCAGGAGACGAGCTTTGTCCTTTCCTGAGGCGTTGGAGAGCATTGTGTTGGCGATTTTTTCCATGATCGGTTTGTCCCAGTGGGACTGTTTGTGTTCTTTGGGAGGAGCTGGTCTACTGGAGGAATCTGTAAGGGTGTCCCACCGAATCGCTGCTTCAGTAAACCTGGGGTGTTGAGCTCCTATCACGTCTCTCAAGCGTTCGGGAACAATCTTCTTGACTAATGCACTGGAAGCCAAACACGAAGACAGAAAAGCAGGTAAAGCAACATGCGTTGCTTTGCGCAACCACTATACCTCCCAGTCGTACTGGGAGGGTTGCCTGATCCCATTGCTGATCCTCTAGTGACAGGTTCAGTGCCTTCTTAAGGGTTGACCTCAGGTGTGCGTCATATTCGTCGAGTGTTGGGTTGTCAAAAGAGGGTGCACACCTCAGGAAGTAAGTGAGTCTTGGAATAGTAAGGCACCTTGTGAGGAGATACAGAGCATCATGGCATCAAGATTGCTTATTCTCTTTCTCCATTCTCATCAGGTCATTCAATTTGTCCTTGAGGACTGTGTCGATGGCCTGGTGACCAGCGGTTGCTCCCAAGAGGGTACTGTTGGACGGAGTGGTAGTAGAGACTTCTAGGAGTATTCCTCGCACAGCATTGATTATTTCCTGGTTTGCTGTGATGATTTCACACTTGGAGGGATTGAGGATGAGTCCCAAGTCTTCTCCCTGTATTTTCACCAGTTGTAGGTCCCCTACCAGGGACTCTTCAGTACCTGCCAGAGTGCCATCATCCAAGTACGAGATGTTGAGCTCGCTGCGTAGGCTGGAAGTTAGTTCTCTTACTGCCAAGCAGAAGAGAAGTGGAGCTAGTGGGTCACCCTGCTGAACACCTTCTGATGAGAGAATTTCATGTTCTCCAAACAAAGGAATTGAGGGTTTGCAGTGGCCGGCTGAAATGAAGGGAAAAAGACTGGGGAAGCGATCCCGAACAGCTGGCAAGACAGCATCTCTCTTTACCATATTAAAGGCATTTCTAAAATCAAGTTTGACTACGGCCTTGTCTTCTGGTAGGTCCCTGATGTAGGCCCTTGCCGCATGAGCTGCAGCTTCACTGCCTTGAGGGACCCCAAAGCCCAGTTCGTGTGGCTGGAGTAAACTGGCAGCTTCTAGGCGAATGTTTCTTACTGCTGCTTTGGCAACCAGACGGCGA